GGGCAGTTAGACCTGTGTTATATAAGAAAGCAAGCTGAGTAGGGGGCCAGGAGAGCAAGTCAGTAAACAGCGTTCCTCCATGGCCTGTGCTCTAGCGCCTGCCTCCGGGTTCCTGCCCTGAGCTCCTACCTTGGGCTCTGGATGAACTGTGACCCAGGAGATGTAAGCTGAATAAACCCTTTCCTCCCCAAGTTGGTATTGGTAAGAGTGTTTTGTCACAGCAATGGAGAAACAAACTAGAAGATAAGACATTAAAATGCAGCTGCAGATGCAGGGAAAATTAGACAGGATCCCACAGGCTAGAAAGGCACAAAAGATGGAAGATCTTAAGTCTCCGCCCCTCACACCTATTCTTGGCACAGAGCCTACAACAATAACAAAAATAGCAAATCCTGAGGAAGAGGGGAACCTGACTTCCGGAGTTACCACAATATTAGAATCATAAATGCAGTTTAACAGAAAAATATTGTAGACACAAAGAAACAAAAATGCACACCCCACGCTGCAATCCAATAAAACCTCCGCATGAAGAATATCCGATGGCAGATACACAAAATGATAAAACAGTAATCAAAGACACTAAAAGAATGAAGACGCAGGGAAGAAAACAACTTTAAAAAAAATCAATAAAAATATTTTAAAAGCCCTTAAAAAGAAGCAATCAAAAAAAAATTGTGTAGCTAAAAAGAACAAGTCATTCAAAGCTCTGAGGCGAGAGAAGAATGAGCAAATGCCAAGGTGAGAAAACACAAATCAAATCTGAAGAACAGAAAGAAAAAAAAAGCCTAAGGCAAAGGAGCAGAGCGTACGAGACCAGCAGGCGCAGATCAGTTAGTTCTGCATCACCATGACCCAGTACCGACAGAAAAAACACGAGGTTGATTGGGTCCAGCATGGAGGGAAGGAGGCATGGTGGAAGGGCCCTATCTGTAGTGCTAGGGACATGACTTGCAGGCTTGCTCACAGAGCTATGGGAGCACATGGTGGTAGGCGTTCACATGGCAACCTCAAGGGCAAACACAGGTCAGAACCAGGGATATGTATAACCCTCAAAGGCCTGGTCCTACTAACCTGCTTCCTCCAGCCAGGCCCCACCTCCCAAAAGCTCCACAGCCTTCAAAATAGCACTGTAGACCACACGTTCAAAATATAAGCCTGTGGGGAGCATTTCAGATTCAAACCATAATGGACACCATCAAGAGGCTCTGCAGGCACACTGTGGAAGTTCCACCAGAAGAAGAAAGAGAGAAAGGAGGACAGAAAAAGATTTGAAGAAATAACATTTGAGGGGCTGGAGAGATGACTCAGAGATTAAGAGCACTGACTGTTCTTTGCAGAGGACCTGGGTTTGATTCCCAGCACCCACATGGCGGCTAACTCCGGTTCCAGGGGATCCAACGCCCTTTTCTGACCTCCGCAAGCATTGCACAACACAAGTGCACTTACACACATGTAGGCAATACACTCGTACACATAAAAAATAAATAAATATTTTTAAACAACAGCTGAAATTTTCCAAAAATTTGTTGAGACATATATCCAAATATGCACAAATCTTAACACATTCCAAGTAAGATGAACTGAAAATGAGCTACACTTGAAACACATTGTAATCACTTTCCAAAAACAAAGACAGAATCTTGAAAGCAATAAAAGAGATGCAACTCACCACATACAAGCAATCCTCACAGTAAGAGTACCAGCAGACTTCTTGTTAGAACCTGTGTGGCCAGAAGGCAGTCAGCAGATAAGCTCAAGGGACTAAAGGCACTAAAAGGTAATCTCAGTGGTCAACTACACTGCAAGCCTCTGCGCACTCTTCTGGGGGACTTCTGAGCATATTACTTGAGGAAAGACCCACCTTAAATGTGGGTGGCACCTTTTGGTGTGAGCCCAGATAAAAAGACAAGGGAAAAGGACACTTGACTTTCTGCTAGCTTGCCGTCACTCCTGGCAAGTTTCTATCCTTTTGCTGTGGCGTTCCTTTGCTGACATCAGAACCAACTTCTTCTGGCTTCCAATGTAGACCAGCAGCTCTCCAGGGCTCCTCCAGGCCTTCAGTGCCAGATCAGGACTGCTGAGACATCCAGTCTCACGGACTGAACGACTACCAGATTCTTGGTCTCCCCAGAGTGAGATGGTCCATTGTTGAATTACCCGAACCACAACCTTACTGTAAGCAAATCTAATAAATCCTCCCATACCCTCCCCAGCCCCGCCACACACACACAGAGAACACACACAATCAGATTTGTTCCTTTAGAGAAACCAGAAATTAGCCCCAAGCATAGGGTGCTGCTGCTGTTGTTTTGGAGGAAGATTGTGGAAGGATCTTGAAGGTTATAGGGGAAAGCACTAATCCTCAAGAGAATTAATGTGCTGCTTTGTAGGAGCTTGGAAGGGAAAAGTGCTAAGAGAAATGAAGACCATGGAAACCTGGCTCCTGAAGTTTCAGGGGAAGCAAAGACTCCAGCATATTGGGGATGCCAGAATCATGGGGATGACCATCAAAAACAGCAGCAAGTGTGCAGTACAAGTGGCCTGAGCCTGAGAGACAAGCTGTGCTGTAGATGGTAGAACCAGAGCTGTCCCAGCCCTTTGGATCCAAAAGATTACAAGTCCCAGAAGCTAGACACTGAGCTACAGAATTTGATTTACACTGCTGGATGTTGGGTTTTGCTTTGATCTGATTGTAAATGTGCCCTGGCTCTTCCTTTTCTGAATAAGAAAAGCCAGCCAGAGGCTGGAGAGATGGCTCAGTGGTTAAGAGCACTGGCTGTTCCTGCAGAGAACCCAGCTTTAGTTCCCAACACTCACACTGCAGATAACAACCACCTGTAAGTACCATTCCAGTAGGTCTGATGTCCCCTTCTGGCCTCTGCAGGCACTGCATGCATCTAGTGCACTTAAACACATGCAGGCAAAAGACTCATGCACATAAAATAAAAATAAATAAATCGGGGGTGGGGGGCAGTAAGCAGTGTTCCTCCATGGTCTCCACACTTCAGTTCCTGTATCCAGATTCCCGCTTGAGCTCCAGCCCTGGCCTTCCTCCACGATGGACTGAAATACAGTCTTTCCTTCCCAAGTTGGTTTTGGTCAGTGTATTAACAAAAGTAGAAAGCAAACCAGCAAGACCATCCCTTAGGCAAGGAAGAAATTAAGATTCCCTGATAAATAAAAGCCTTAGAAAATTTGTTACCATTATAGTTGTCCTAAAAACTACAGTCTCAAAGGGTAAAATAAAGGGCTTTGACAGTAACCAAAGCTATTTGAAGAAATAAAGATCTCAGCAGACGTGCTGACAAACATGAAGAAAGATGGGGACCGAGGTTCAAGGTCAGCCTGAACTGCTTACTAAGACCCATCATTCTCTCTGCAATTAGCATCATTAACATATAGGAAAATTTTAAAAAGCTAGCACTATTGTAACAACAGTTTACAACCATACTTTTAGTTTTGAGACTAATGTTTTTTAAAAATTTAGTCTAAAAGCTATGTGTCTAATTGCACACCTTATTTTATTCATGGCTTTTAGAGACTAATGTTCTGTCTTTGATTACTTCATTATGAGTTTATATTTGAGTACAGAGCATATAAATACATAATGTTATGACAGTAATGTTGAAAGAGGTGGGAAGACAACCTAGATCAGCAATTTTATGTTACTGAAGTTAGGTTTGTATAAATGCAAATTAGGTATTATAACTTAAGGATAACTCTAATTTCCATGGTAGCCAAAGAAAATAGCTATAGAATAGATATAAGAAATCAGAAATCTAAAAGTTTCACCACCAAAAAAAAAAAATCGACTAAACAGAAAAGAAGACAGTAAAGCAAGGGAGGAAAAAAGCTACAAGGCACAACGGCGACAAGGCCAAAAGACAGAAACAGAGTCAACTCTCCATTCAGAGAATCGCACACAGTGAATTTTAAAAACCACCAAGAGCCGGTGTGTTAGCTCACGCCTTTAATACCAGTACTTCAGAGGCAGAGGCAAGCAGCTCTCTCAGGAGGTCAAGGTCAGCCTGGTCTACTTAGTGAAATTCTGTCTCAAAAAAAAAAAAACCCACCATGATCTAATTATATGTTATCTACAGAGCCTTTACAAGAGACTCACCTCAGCTCCAAAGACAAAACAGAAGTGAAAGGACAGAAAAGGGCATTCCATGCTAAGAGTAACCTAAAGAAAACAGGGGGACTGTCCTTGTACCAGACCAAAAAGGCTTTAAGTCAGGTTTACATGATAAAAAGGCCACTGTATATTAGTAAGTGGCCCAATACAGCAAGTCTTGGCATCTAGTGAGAGATCACCAGACTACATTAAACAAACCTGAAAATAAGGAATAATTCTATGATTAGTAGTAGACCTTAATATTCTACTTTTAGCAACGGACAGAACAACTGGACTGAATATAAGAAACCAGACACACTTAACCAACTAGATCTAACAGAAACAGAACACTACCCAACACCAAGGCGTAAACATTCTTTCTCAATGCACATGGCACACTATCCAGGAAAAACCACAGATGAGGCCATAAATTAAGTTTCAATAAGTTTTAAAAGATAGATAGCATACAAAATACCTTCCTCAACCACAACAAAATAAACTTAGAAGTTACAGAAATAAAACCAGAAAATTCACAAAATTACAGGAATTAAACAACATATTCTTAACCAATGAATAATGAGAATTTAAAAAAACATTCTAAAACACGTGGTATTAGGGAGACTGCTAAGAGAGAAATGGATAGCAATAAACACATTTTTTTAAAGAGTCTTAAATGACCACACTAACTATAAATTATAAAACCATAAAGAGAAGAAACTAAACCAAACCTAGAGAAGTAAAAAGAAGCAGAAATAAAAGAGGAAGAAAGATGGAGAAGAGTTTATAAAACCAAAAGTTCATACTTTGGGAAAAAATAAATAAAACAAAAATCACCAAAACTGACCAATGCTTAGCTGGAGGAACTTAGTAAAAGAGGAAGACTCACCATCACTACAAGCAGAAACAGGAGGAGGGACGCTCCACCCCAGCTTCTACAGCACTGAGGGACCACAGGAGAGATAACCATGGGCTGACAATAGGGTAACCCAGTTAAAACGGACATTCCTAGGAAAGCAAAAACACACCAAGATTAAATCATGAGGAAACAGAAACTGAAGGCATCTGAAACTAGTAAAGAGGGCGCACAGCGACCAAAAGAATCTTATGAAAAGCTTTGAACCAGATGGTTTTCCTGGTCAATTCTTCTGAACATTTAGAAGAACGTCAAGCCTGCTCAAACTTAGAAAAGCCGGGAAGAGAAGGGATCACTTCTGAACCCATCCTATGAGGACTGCACTGCCCTGACACCAAAATGAGAGAAAGGCGTTGTAAGAAAACTACAGGCCAGCATCGCTAATGGACACCAATAGTAAAAACTCTCGTGACAATACTATACTATAAATACTATGCAAAAATACTCGTGACAATTTGCTAGTGCAAACTGAATTCCACAATACCAAAGGAATTATACACGAGACCAGATGGAAATTATTCCTGGAATGTAAGGATAATTTAGCATATGCAAATCAATCAGCATAATACACTACCTTAACCGAATGAAGGGAAAAATACTTCACATGATTTTCTCAACTGATGTAGGGGGAGCACCTTAACTGAATGAAGGGGAAAAATATTTCACATGATTTTCTCAACTGATGTGGGGGAAGCACCTGACAAAATCCAACACCCTCTCTTGACAAAACACTTGAACAAACTAGGAATAGAGAAAACATGTTTCAATATAAGTCACTATGAAAACCCAGAGTGAACAGCAAGGTCTGGGATGAAGATTCAAAGATTCTCCTCAAAGATGACAACAAGGTGAGGATACTCACTTCCATTACTTCTACCCAATATAGTCCTGGAAGTTCTTTCTAACCAGAAGAAGTAGGCAAGAAAATACAGATATTCAAGTTGGAAGAATTACAATCACCTCTGTCTACAGATGTTACATGGAGAAAGTTCAAATGATTCCACTGAAAATAAAAACCGTTTGAACACAAACAAATTGCGATGCTTGGCAGGACCCAAAATCAACAACCAAGAGTGAGGGGTAGGTACCTCTCTCCAGGAACTACAGGCATTCTGCAAAGGACACTGCAAATGCAACTCTATCCACAATGACAGCCAAAGGAATAAAACTTAAGAAATTGGCCCAACCACAAGAGAAAATCTTGATAAAAAGTATCTAACAATGCCCAAAGAAGTTTTAAAAGATATGCATAAATAGAAACATTTCCCAAGTCCACAGACTAAAAGACATGATACTGTTAAGATGCCACACCACATAAAGCCATCAACAGAAATAATGCGATCCTTTTCAAAATTCCATGACATTTTTGCAAAAGTAGAAAAAAATACCAAAATTTACATGGAGTTTCAGAAAACCCAAATAGCCAAAATGATACTGAAAACTATGAACTTTTAAAGTGTGATAGAGAAATCATATGTGCTGATATCAAACTAAATTAGAAAGCTACAATAATCAAAATAGTGTGGCAACAGCATAAAGACAAACACAAAAACCAACAGGACAGAATATAGATCCCAGAAACAAACACACACATAGCCAAATAACTGTGCCCAGGTTGCTGCAATCATTAAATGATAATCTTTTCAACACATGGTACAGGGGGGAAAAAGTAATAACCACATGTAAAAGAATGAACGGGAACTTTATATACAAAAAGTAATTCAAGATATGTCAAAGACTTACATGCAAAACCCCAAACTCAAAAGCTCTCAGAAGAAAGGGCAAAGGCTTCACAGCACAGGACCTGGCCATTACCTCTCTGACATGGCACTAAAGGCACTGACAAAAAAGAGAATAGGACACACAGGAGCTCAGGAAAACCTAACTTTCAGATATAAGAACTTTCCAACAGAGTAAAACAACAACCTTGCAGAATGGGAGAAAACACTCCCAAACGTCATCTGATGAGAGACTGCGGCATGAGGACCTTCTAACAAACTGATAAGAAGAAGAAAAAAACAACACGTCACAGCCCAGCGGAAGTGAAAGATTTAAAAGTATGCAAAGCTGTAGCTGATGTCACTCACTATTAACCAGCAAGCAAAAAACTGAAAGAGGAACTTACACAGAAATGTTAAGATTGCTGTGCATGGTGGTCTGTGCCTTTAATCCCAGCACTTGGGAGGCAGAGGCAAGTGGATCTCTGAGATTCATCAAGGCCAACCTGATCTACGTAGTAAGTTCCAGACCAGCTAGGGCTGCAGGAAGACCCTGTCTCAAAACAACCAAAAAAAAAAAAAAAAAAAAAAGGTAAAAATTATACAAACACAACCAATTTAGGCAACCATAATAGTGCCTTCCAGGCTAGCTGGTGCTACAGGGAGACCCTGTCTCAAAAAAAAAAAAAAAAAAAAAAAAAAAGGTTAAAATTATGCTAGCATCACCAAATTAGGGCAGCAATACTGCCTTTTAGCCACTAAGAATCAGCTCCCACCAGTGGCAGAAGTTGACATGAGGCAAGCTGGGATTTGCAGTGCAGGCAATGGGTAAGGACACCTCTGTGTAATATACCTCCAGCAGGCAGGAAGAGGCAGGAGTGGGGTGGGAGGAGGAGGCAGAGTAAGCATATTCACCTCCTGGACTCTGCACCCCTTAACAGAAAAGGGTAGGTTGCTGGATTTAGTTATGAACTCTAAAAAAGGGTTCCCAGCAAGTCTATTAGCCCTTCGGCAATGGATCATTGCCTAACCTACTGAAGGCTCATCTCAAGAATCTATCAGCCCATTTTTATTAAGGAAGCTATTATGGACAAAACCCACTGGCTCAGGAAGCCCCTCCCTCTGCTAGGGGGTCCCAACTGTGGAAGAGATGCTCTCGCACTCACTGATCACGGATTCATCATCACCTACTCACTACAGACCTTGACACATGTTGTACACATGTGAGCAGTGATTTTCTTCAAGTCTACAGCACCCATCTCTAATTTCTCTTGCTTTAAAAATCTCATACAAGGCACAACAAAACTGTTCTCCCAAGAGCAAAAACCCTCCATAACGTGGAACATGTTTCCGGAATGAAAAACTGTATTCATTATGACCTGGAATTTCGTATGCATGATTTTCATGAAAGACACTGAAAACATTACCAAAGACATTTACAACTTCCCTTTATATATAAAACATTCTTAAAGATTAACAAACATCAAAAAGGACAGACTGTGTCATAATTTTTAGGCCACCCTGGGCTAGGGAATAAGAATTATGCAAGCCAAGGCCACACTGTGAGAACCTGCCTTTAAAAAACAAAAATGAAAACAAAAACACAAGGCCAGGTTTTCAATACAATCCCTACCACTGAGTTTCCACGGCCCTTTGAGAAACACTAGCGGCCAAAGGGTCCAGGAAAGATGAGCTTCATCTCCACTCCCACCCACATCTGATGGGTCTGATGGTCCCGGAAGCACCCAATTTTCTAAAGTAAGTGGAGGCAGAAGAGAGTGAGTTGTACAATTCCCACCCTCAGCACTCTACAGACATCCACAAGGGGACATGTTCTCTATTTTCTGATTTCTGGATTTTTTTTTTTTTCAAGACTGCTCTGATTAGCATTTTTTATATATACATTCTCAAACAGTGTAGAAGAAACCGCAGTTATGGAGCCACAGATGTGGGGCATTAAGCAATTCTTGAGGCTCCAAAGAAGGTGTTTTCTCAAAGATGTGTTGCTAATAAAAAATAAAAATAGCTGGGCATGGTGGCACACGCCTTTAGTCCCAGCACTTGGGAGGCAGAGGCAGGCAGATCTCTGTAAGTTCGAGGCCAGCCTAATCTACATAGTGAGTTCCAGGACAGCTGGGGCTCAGGGAGACCCTGTCTCAAAAAGCAAAATTAAATAATAAATAAATAAATAAATAATCTTTTCAAATGGCTAAAAATTATAGAGCTCTAAAATCCTATCTTGAATTCCACCTCCATTCAAGAATGATGCTAGGAACGGTCAAATAAATGCAGCTGAGTGTCCTAATGTACTTTAAAGACATTTTCACTGATAATCATTCCCCAATTTGTCTTACTGAAATTCAAGAAAGGTCAGAAATAGAAAGCCACTTTGAAAGCATTGCTCCAATTACCCAGTAGACTTCAAAAAAAAAGCCAGAAGCTCAGAACAAAGGTTTCCAGAGGTGAGCTGCTCAGATAACCTTGGCTGTGCCTACCCCCAGTCACTCCAGAAGACCTGACTCTTTAGGTCATTTTTCTTCTGACAAAGCAGCAGATAAGAAAAATCTCAATGTTTTTCCTCAGCACCCGGCTGAGATCAAGGTTAAGTACAAAGTAACAGAACCAAAGAAACCTGTATGGCCCCAAGCTACTTGGTTTATCTGAATTTAAGAGTGTACCTTTAGTCCCAGAACTCTGGAGGCAGAGGCAGGCGGATCTCTGTGAGAATCCAGCCTGGTCTACACAGCAAGTGCTAGGACAGCTGGGGCTACAGGGAGACCCTGTCTCAAAAAGACCAAAAAAAAAAAAGCTAGGGTATATGAGGAACCTAGGGTATAAGGAGAAAGAAGCAGTTCAACAGAGGTAGGATCATAGGAGCAAGGGTATTAGTAAGGAAGAAAGAGGGGGAAGTGCAGGCACCTTAAGTGGGAAAACCATGATAGAGGGGGGAGACGATACAAGAGAGAAACAATGCCTAGCTAGTCACAAATACCAGAGGGAACCATATTATTCCTACAATCTACTGACAAATTATACATAAAAGATCAAGAAAAATATCTCTAGATAAGGTTTATTTGAGACCAACTGGTCATTACCCAAGATTTATCTGCAAGACACACAGTAATTAAAAATTGCCAGAATGGTGGAACTAACCTTCTTGGATGTTTAACAGACATAC